GCGAAGAGGAGAGGTGGATGGACAGAAGGGGGAAGGTATTAAATCATTACGGCAGCAAAATTAATTGGCGAGTCGATTATTTCCCATAAATATTGATTGGTTTCGATTGTGAACGTGTTCCCTTCAGTCTATTTCTGTGAAATTTAGATTTAAATTATGACAAACTCGACATTTGTGTAATGTCTAAAATAGATGTTACATCATATATTTACATTAAAAATGTCCTAGGAGTTCATTATAAAGATTGTTTTATATGAAAATTGATGGCGCTTTTTTATTTTAATGATGTACAATGCATCATTTATTTACACACCCCTTTCTTTACAAATCAAAGCAATGCATGTTAATGATTATTTGTTTTATTTTGCAAAATAATAATAATTGCTTTGTAAATTAAATGTTGCCTAAACTTGGTAAATAATCATCTCTAGTCTATACCTTCATTGCATGGTAATGAGAGAGCAACATGTAAAGCGCAGTTTTTATATTTTTTAAACAATGGATTTCATTATTGTATCCAATTATCTATCCAGGTTTATATATAATTAGGATTTAACGATCAATTCCTGTGAATTACTTGATATGAGTTAAACACCGTTAACCATGGACAAAGCTTGCCCGCTGTCAGTAATAAATTAAACTATTTTTCAATTGCCAATAAAAAAAATGTATTACAAAGGGCTAGCAACAAGAGACAAAAAGTTCATAGCAATCAGAGAAACGGTTGTATGAAGTTCTTTAGGCAACAAGAAATTCAGAAACCATGGAAACAAAATCCAATGAAAAAGAAAAAAAGAGATACACAAATTAAGAAACAATCAAGAAGAGATACAAAGATTTAGGAATAATTTTAAGAGCTCAGTAACGTTATGCCAAGTACGCGAATGCTTAGTTCGTGAATGCCTAGTTCACTATGCCTAGATCACATCTATGCCTAGTTCGTAATGCCTATTGATAACATTATGCCTATATTTCTGAATGTCTAGATATAAATATGCCTAGATTTCATAATGCCTAGTTACTCAATGCCTGGATAACATTTGAGCGAATTGAATGCCTAGACATTTTCGAGCAAGAAAGATGCTATACTAGAAAATTCAAATGATTTATTACATATTTTTATTGTATCTCACTATGAATCACCTAGTCACATGTTTTATATTTTCAACGTTTCTACTTTTTGAAAGTCATCCGTACCACTAAGAAAAATTTCACATTTTAAGAAGGTTTGTTTGCGAATTTTTGTAGATACAGAAATCAAGGTAAAAATAACGAGGGATACAGAAATTAATGAGCAATCAAGAAAGAAGAAAAAGTCCAACTGAATTTCACAAGGAATACAAAAACTGAAACGTAAATCAATGTTAATAATCAAAACACAAAAAGGTTTCAATTTGAGGATTAAGCTAAAAGCACTCTAAATTTTCCCCTAATTTCAAATCTAACTTACTTGAAGAGCTCACTGTTAGCTGTTGTATGGAGCTGGTTTTTGTAGCGTTCAGCTCCAAGCATACTCATACTATGGTTTCCTTGATCACGGATCTTACTCTACAGAATTAGATAAAAATAATTAATAATGATATTTATAATAGTTTTAACAATAAATATAATAATGATAATAGTAACAATGATGATAATAATAATATTGAAAACTATAAATAATTTTACCGGGGTGAGCGGAATGGATTTAGCTGGGGATAGTTTCGTAGTGCGAGTAGGCGTGGTGCGAGTAGGTGTGGTCCTAGGAGAGGGTGTAAACCTTGGTGGAGAGGCCCGGGGGGTAGTAGGCTTAGGGGTGCTGGTTCTACTCATTCTTCCTAGATATAATTCTTCAGTTCTATAGTTCTTTAGTTCTTTAGTTCTTTAGTTCTTTAGTTCTTTAGTTCTTTAGATCTTCAATTCTTTAGTTCTTTAGTTCTTTAGTTCTTTAGTTCTTCAGTTCTTTAGTTCTTTAGTTCTTTAGTTCTTAAAGTTCTTTAGTTCTTTAGTTCTTTAGTTCTTTAGTTCTTAAGTTCTTTAGTTCTTCAGTTCTTTAGTTCTTTAGTTCTTTAGTTCTTTAGAATATAACTTAAGAGCTGTATTTAAAAAAATATGTATTTAGCATGATATTTTCTCATTTCAAAGAGAAGAATTATTGAGAATGAGAGAATCTAAATACTTCTAAATAAATCCTAATTAGAGAAAACACAGAAACAATTAGATGCAATGCATGGATACTTTTACTGCCTATATACCTGGATTTTAAGTATTTCCCATTCCCCTCCCTTTCTCAATGCACACGCATACCCCCCTGCGCCCCCTCTTTCATTCATGCCTCCTCTATACCCTACCCAACCCCCTTCTTCTTCCATGCATACCCCCCTTTCCACTATATATTCAGATTGGAAACTTAGAAGTTTGTATATATATATATATATATCTATATTTATTTTCAGTTCTTCTCATTGCATAGAAGCATCTACTAACCACAGTAAGGTGGTATGTCCGAGAAAAAAATAATCGTTTTAAATGGTTCGTAGAATGCGATGTATTGAGAGTTGAAAAAGGTAAAGAAGGTTTTCTAAAGGCAATAGAAGGGGTTCAAAGGAGAATAAAAATGATGTAAATGAGAATAAATGGGTTGTAGAGGGGAATGGAAGGAGTGTAGAAGGGAATGGAAGGAGTGTAGAGGGGAATGGAAGGAGTGTAGAGGGGAATGGAAGGAGTGTAGAGGGGAATGAAAGGAGTGTAGAGGGGAATGGAAGGAGTGTAGAGGGGAATGGAAGGAGTGTAGAGGGGAATGGAAGGAGTGTAGAGGGGAATGAGTGTAGAGGGGAATGGAAGGAGTGTAGAGGGGATATGGAGGAGTGTAGAAGGGAATGGTAGGAGTGTAGAGGGGAATGGTAGGAGTGTAGAGGGGAATGGATGGAGTGTAGAGGGGAATGAAAGGGTTGTAGAGGGGAATGAAAAGGAGTGCATGGTGAGGGGAAGGGAAGAAGTGTAGAGGGGAATGGATGGATTGTAGAGGGGAATGAAAGGGTTGTAGAGGGGAATGAAAAGGAGTGCATGATGAGAGGAAAGGAAGAAGTGTAGAGGGGAATTAATGAAAAGGAGTGCAAATAAAGGGGAATAGAAAGAGTATAGAGGGTAATTAATGAAAAGGAGGGCATGTAAAGGGGAATGGAAGGAGTGTATAGGGGGATGAAAGGAGTCCATGGAAAGGGGAATGAAAAGGATTGCATGGTGAGGGGAATGAAAGGAGTGTAGAGGGGAATTAAAAGGAGTGCATGTAAAGGGGAATAGAAGGAGTGTAGAGTAGAATTAAAAGGAGTGTATGTAGAGGGGAATGGAAGGAGTGTAGATGGGAATGAAAAGGAGTGTATGTAAAGGGGAGTGGAAGGAGTGAAAAGGGGAATGAAAAGGATTGCATGGTGAAGGGAATGGATGGAGTGTAGAGGGGAATGGAAAGGAGTGCAAGTAAAGGGGAATGGAAGGAGTGTAGAGGATAATGTTTTCCACAGCTTGAGCAGGTGTAGGAAGGGCAAGCATAATTAGAGGTGGTTGAAATTCAGGAAGTAGGGAGAAACCAATTTCTAAGGGGGAGGGGGTGGATTTACTAGGGGAGGGTGGGGGTGTATTAACTAGGGAAGGGGGAGGTTTATTAACTAGGGGAGGGGGAGGTGTATTAACTAGGGGAGGGGTAGAGGGGGGGTTGAATTTGAAAAGGAAGGGAGTGAGAGGGGGAGGAGGGGGTGGTCATGGTTTTATAGATCCGCTACCATATATTCTGGACTTTAAACACAATAATTAGTTGATTATTGTATCCTGTCCAATATATTTCTATCTATTTATCTATCTATAAAACAATCCATGAAATTCAACATTTAACATGTTCTAGGCTATAAACTTCTTTACAAAGTAAAATGAAATCGTTTCAAACATTATTCGACAATAATGGAACTGAAAGATTGATTAAATAATAATGCCAAAAGAATTAAAGGCTTGTTAATTTTATTAACAAATGAGATTAATGAATTAATGGAATGAAGATGGAAAATATAAGTAATAATGCCAAAAGAATTAAAGGCTTGTGAATGGTGCTTTTAAAATTTTGAATTTTGTTAACAAATGAGATTAATGAATTAATGGAATGAAGATGGAAAATATAAGTAATAATGCCAAAAGTGTTGATTTCCAACAAAAAATATTTTTTCAAAATGAAATTGAAGTTTCAGTGTTTTAGTGGATTTGAAGGTTAAATGAAAATATGCATTTACAGGCGCGTAGTGGAGGTTTACCCTAGGTGGTGTACTTTAGGCGTGCGTAAGCGCGCCGAAATTTTTTTTGTGCACCACCCTAAAAACCCGGTATTAAGAAAAAATAAAGTTTAAAATCTATATTAATCTACCTGAAGGCTGACTATTAGTCATCTGATGATCTTTTAAATGAAACCCCGCGAAAAATTTTTTGTAAATATGATTAAGGTACAGGTAAAAAATCTGAAAATATATGTAAGTTTACAGTTTAATAAATTAGAGCCTGCCTCTGGCTCTAGGGGGGGGGGCTAGGGGGGTGCAATGTCAAGGGGGACACAGGAGTACCGGCCCCCCTCCACTAGCTCCTGTGCATTTAAGGTATAAAACGGAGAAGAAAAAAATTACTAATTTATAACAAAAATAATACCTTCTAGTTGATTACGTGGTCCGGCAGTAAATTTATCTTTATCTTTTCCGTTACTTCTGTTCCTCTAGAACTAAACAAAATAAATAATTATATAAATTAATGATGATTTAATATGATAAAAGCGTAGCGTGCTCCAAAATAACTGTCAGCTGAAATCATAAACCAGAAAATAATTTCTGCTCAGATCAAACAAAAAACGCCACTCCATCAATTACAATATAGATGAATACGTACATTTATGTAGTAAAAGATATAAACTAAATTTAACTTTAAAAATCTATTCAATTGTTTTCGAACTTACTTTGACTGTCGACAAATCCGACAAACCCGTTAAGAGAAAAGTTTAAGTTCATGATTTATTCTATTCTATGAATTATGATCTTCAGTAATCCTGTTTAAAGAAGATGTAAACTTGATTAAAGAAGGATGTAAGCCAAATCCCCTTTAAACCTTTATATTAGTAACAATATGGAATATTGTTTTTCTCTTTAAAAATTGTAAGCTCTGTAAATTTTCCTTCCTTTGCTGCATAAACCCACTGTTATATTTTAGACTGAAAACATGGATGTCTCCATCATTTTTGCTTGTGCAATTTATAATTGAAATATCGAAACAATTAAAAATTAGTCGATTCAATTTGATTCAGTTTAAAAATGTTTGATTAAAAAGTTATATTACTTATACATTTTATGTATCTTATTTGTTTTGCAATAGGTTAAATGTTTTTCAAAAATTAAATTACGCTTTGTGAAAAGAGATATTAACCTTAAGAGATTTTAAGTACAAAATTTGTCAAAATGTCTGACATTTTAATAGTGAAATGCAATCTTTATTGTATGATACAATTTAGATTATTCAAATATTTCATTTAATACATTTAATATATTTGAAAAAAAAATCTTATTAGCTTGAGTCTTTTTCATTACAGTAGTAAGCAATTATATCAATACAACGAAGACGACTTTCTATTTCAATTTTTATTCAAATCAAGCTGTTAAGCAGCATGGTTACATTTAAACACAGAAGTCAAATAGAATCTGGCAATCCATAAAGCTTATCTTTGATCTCTTGTAAACTTGTAATTCGAAAAAAGCTGGTTAACAATCAAAACTTAAATAAAAAAGTCGTCTTCATTGTATTGATATAATTATCTACCAATGTATGATAAAAGATTTAAAAATAGAATTTTACCAAATGAGAGTTTAAAAGATCTCACTTGTTTTACCAACGATTCCCGGAAGAACCATCTATATATAAATTTGGCTTGTCTGTTTGTCTGTCTGTCTGTCTGTTTGTATCCAATAAACGTCAAAACGGCTGAACCGATCGGGCCCAAATTTTTTGTGGGACATCTAGGGACTCCAGGGAAGGTTTATGAATCATGTTTTGTTTTACGATGTATACAAAGAGAACATGTTCACAATTAATTTAGGAGATGGTCGCGAAGCGCCCTCAAAGGCTAGAAAGAAGGGCGCGAAGCGCCTTGAATTTTTATATTATTTATATTTTGAGAGGGAAAACATTACACCCTCCAATCCAAAAGTTTGGCTGCGCCTTTCCTGAGTTATTGTTTTATTATTAATATTAAATACCTAATTTCAGGTTTATAACATAATGTGCTGAAATCTAGTAATTCAGATTTAAATATAGTTAACAGAACATAATGACTGCACGGCCTACAATTTAAACAAAACATTAAATGTCTTGTCACTTGTTGGATAATTGAATACAAAGAATAAATTCATGATTCATGTAATTATGTTCTCTAGATAATTGTGTTAGAGTCATGTCTAAATATCTGATGGATTATATTTAATCAATGTGGTTTTTGGTCAAGCCTCAATGTTTGAAATAATTTAGGATAAATATTTAAGATCCAATTAGGTTTTCTAATTTTCTAATTTTATACAGTGAGAATCACTAAACTGTGGAATAGTCTTCTTTCTATTCCACAGTTTTATGGGTTTCACTGTAGGTATTACTTTAAAAGAATGTCTTAACAAAATCATTTGATAGTTTAAAGGGTTTTTTTCAAGTAATATGCTTTAAGCATACGAAGACTGGCCATTCATCCCGTATTTATAAGACCATATCTCTTTATAAATAAAATAACAAAAAACTTTTTTTGCGCTGAGCTGCGAACTTAATTTCGGAATCTACAAAATTAGAGAATATTGGTTACATTGGTTACAAGTTCGGAGGTTTACCAGTTAAACAGATTTAAATTCGTCCAGTTCATTCACAAGTTGTTCATTGTTTGTTCTTGAATTTAATCTTATGCATTAATCATTAGTGTTCGTCCTAATTATCCCGCTGAATTTCCGTTCCTGCAAGACTGATTAAAATAAGAAGATAATTGGCCTTCATGCATACTATAAATAATTCGAACACCTAATTATCAAATATTTTCATGGGAATATCTGAATTACTAGCAATTTGATCAATATTTCAACACATTTTGTTATAAACCTGTAAATTAGACATTTAATAATAATAATGATAATAAGATAATAAGAAATGACGTAGCCAAACTAAGAGAGGGGTAATTTGTTCGCTCTACACCAATAAATAAACTTCCTGGAATCGAGATTTGTAAAACTCTTATTCGGTAAAATTCTATTTTTGAAGGAGAAAATTGATTAAGTATTAAAGTTAAACCCCTTGTATGTAGTTTTATGGCGGATATATCAAAGTTAAACCCCGTGTATGTAGTTTTATGGCGGATATATCAAAGTTAAACCCCTTGTATGTAGTTTTATGGCGGATATATCAAAGTTTAAACCACGACCGAGTTTAGTTCTTTATTGTCGGAACATGTTTAGCTTGAAATTATAGTCCTTTGGTATATTTTTATTACTTATACATTAAAAGGAACAAAAATATTCTTCATGAACTTGTAGCTCCTGTGCATTTAAGGTATAAAACGGAGAAGAAAAAAATTACTAATTTATAACAAAAATAATACCTTCTAGTTGATTACGTGGTCCGGCAGTATATTATGAAATCCACTCCCACTACCCCACCATAAATAGACCACTTCCTTCAAATAGTCCCCCCCTGTTCCCCTCCAATCAAACGTGCCCTAAAACTACCAAAACGTGCCCTAAAACAAGCATTTCCTGTCTTAATCATCAACAAATTTTAAAACTAATAATTATTATACATACAATGCTAATAGATAGTGGATAGGATTCCAGTATGAACTGCAGTCTTAACAATTTATAAATATATGGATGGATGTCTAGACAGCAAGTACAAAATCTGACAAAATATTTAAAGAAATTGAGTTTTTGCCACAAATGTCAATTTTATAATACCTAAATCTCAACAACCAGATGATGCATACCTTTCATATTTCAAGCTTACATTATTTGATCCACCAGAATTCATAGTTTGAAATATCTACGGTCTACGACATTTGGTTTTAAAGAAATTTGGATTTAAAAATCCGAGTTTGTGGCAAACACTAAATTCCTTTGAGACATTCCCGGGATTGCTGGGTCTTTTTATCAGAGCCACAAAAGCCCAGGACAGTGCCGGGATTTTAAGACTGTCCCGATACCATGGGTTTTATTTTTTTCTTCTCAATCTCGGAGACCTAAAAGCCCTTGACAGTCCTTGAATCCCGGAACTTTGGGACTGTCCCAAAGACCCAGAGTCCCGACACCATGGGGTTTTAATTTTGGTCAAACTATTTCAAGAAACATCACAACTCAAACATGTTGAACTTTGTGTCTTTGGGACTGTCCGTCCCAAAAGCCCGGGACAGTCCCAAAGATTCAGGGACGAGACGCAGTGGGGTTTTAACTTCAATCAAACTATATAAATAAAGACCAAAGTCATGGCAAGTAAAGCTAGTAAAAATAAACTTCAAAAGTGAGTAATTATTATCCCCAGGGATGATTTAAAAAAACTAATATCCTGCGTTAAAATGATATAAGATATTGTAATATTGTTATTTAGGTCTAGACAAGGGTATGCAGACTAAACAATATCAATACTTGTTTACATATTCTTTAGGTTTCCTTCCATGTGAACTATGTTTTATTTGATTTTCGGATTTTCTTTCCCAGTTTCGCGGATTTTATGGATTTTTTTCAAACAAATTTTCAAATCTTTTTCAATCTATATATATAAACTTTGCTTATCTGTCTGTTTGTATCCTATAAACGTCAAAACGGCTGAACCGATCGGACCCTCGCGTGACCCAAGGGAAGGTTTATGAAAATATGAATGATCGTAGTTTCAAAAAGTTGCCTCTAACAAAATTCGATTTGTGAAAATTTAAAAAATCCACGATTTTTTTTTATAAATTCCGCGAATTTTTTGTTTTACTATGTATACAAAGAGAACATGTTCACAATTAAAATGGAAGATGGGCGTGAAGAGCCTTAAAAGCCTAGTCTATATATACTTTGCTTGTCTGTCTGGGTGTTTGTTGGTTTGTATCCAATAAACGTCAAAACTGAACCGATCTAAAAGCCTAGTATTTCATATTTCAATCTCAGAGACTCAAAAGCTTAAGACAGTCCAAAGTCTTTGGGGGCATGGATTTCTCAATCTCAGAAACCCAAAAGCCTGGGACAGTCCCAGGACTTTGTGACTGTCCCAGAAGCCTAGTCCCAGGAAGTTGGGACTGTCTGCAAAGACCCAGAGTTTTAACACCAGGGGTTTTAATTCTCATTTTTAGAGACCCAAAAGCATGAGACAGTCCCGGGACTTTGGGACTATACCGAAAACCAGGGGCAGTCCCGTTACGTTGGGACTGTTCCAAAGACCCAAAGAGTCCCAACACCACGGAGTTTATTTCTTAATCTCAGAGACCCAATTAAGCCTGGGACTGTCCGAGAAGCCCAGTACAGTCCCGGGATGTTAGGACTGTCCGATTCACCGAAAAAGGGTCAAAGGACCCAGGGTCAGTCAAACGACACAGGGTCAAACGACACTGGGTCAAACGACAAAGGGTCAAAAGTGCGACAAAGGGTCAAACGACAAAAGGTCAAAATGATAAAAATATTTTTTGATTTGAATCATAGGAAACTCGCAATTTTAATCACAAAAATCCGCCAAACTTTTTTGAAGATTTAAAACTTTAAGTCTGATTCTGGCTTCCATAATGGTCGGGTTGGCAATATAATTGACCATGTTGCCGCAGCGCTCGGCCCCTTAGCCTGTCCTAGCCGCAGTGCTCGGCCCAGAAAGTGTCTTAACCTAACCCCAAATAATAATAAATAAATGGATATAATTGACCATGTGGCCATAGCGCTCGGCCCCCTAGCCTGTCCTAGCCGCTGCGCTCGGGCCAGAAATTGTCTTAACTAACCTGACCCGTGGCCGCAGCGCTCGGCTCCCCAACCTGTTCTAGGCGCAGCGCTCGGCCCAGAATGTACCTAACCTAACCTTAAATAATAATAAAAAAAATACTAACCGTCAAAATTAAAAAAAATTTTGCCCTTTTGTCGCATTTTTGGACTCTTTGTCGTTTGACCCTTTGTCGCGTTTTTGACCCCTTGTCGTTTGACCCTGTGTCGTTTGACCCTTTGTCGTTTGACCCTGGGTCGTTTGACCCTTTGTCGGTGAATCGACTGTCCCAAAGACCTAGAATTCAAACACCATGGGGATTATATTTCAATCTCAGACGGCCAATAACCTGGGACAGTACCGGGACTTTTGGACTGTCCCAAAGACCCAGAGTCCTAACACAATAGGGTTTATTTTTCAATCTCAGAGACCTAAAAGTCTGGGACAGTCCCAAAGACCAAGAGTCCCAACACCATCGGGTTGAAATTTTTGAATTTCAGATACCCAAAAGCCTGGGATAGTCCCGCGGATTTTGGGATTTTCCCATAAACCCGGGACTATCCCAATTTTTAGGGTTTTGACACTTGACACTCTATAGATGTTGTGAAGAAAGATCAACTATCATGTATGTGTTTAAATAAAAAGTGCAATGAAGTTTTTGAGAGGAAAGTGATGGAAAGGGTGTCTCAATAAACATGGGAATTAAGTGACGACTTTTATATCGTCTTCGATCCATGCGGCATTTTTTCATGAATACAATAATTGCAGTGTTCCAGTTTACAAATCTAATATTGAAAAAGCCTGGTCTTGAGATTTTCAAAATGAGGGCTAATATTTTTGTATCTTCAAAATTGACGGAGATATTGCAAAATTTGTACAAATTTCAATTTATTTATTGAATTAAAATTGTCTTAATATCTAATATCTTTGTCAATTTTTGAAACAGGAGAAAGGTAGAAAAGACGTACAACCTAGTTTTTATACTTTCTTTGCCATGCACAAAATATCAGAAATCAAAGGCGACTTTCAAGTTATCTCTCAATACCGATGTTAACTGGGACACCCTGTACGAATATAGATTTAGGCCGGACATGTCTGTTGATATTTCTCCATCTGTATCATCCTTCCAAAAAAAGGACGAGTCTTAGATGGCGACACGACATGAATTATAGTTTTTCTTCTCCTTAGATTAATTAGGTCTTCCAAATTCCAATGGTATACCAAATGATTTGACAAAGAAAAACAAGAATGTAGCAGCAGGGATTAAAGAATGTTTTAATGATAAAACAGTATTCTTAGTCGTCTCTGAACTCTGATCATGTGTGGGTAACTTTGTACTTTATATTTCAGCTTCAGCAAGCCACCAACCCACTGCAATTAAGAAAAATGATTTATAGTATTAACCTAATTAACAAACAGTGCACTGTGGCATTGTTTTCTAATAACTTAAGTATGAAAAGTTTTTAACCCATGATACCCCTAAAAAACTTAAATTTAAAAAAAAAAGGTTAATGGATTTCGGGGGCTACCTGTGAGATAAATAATCGTGAAAAGTGAAATCTTGAAATTGTTTTAAAGGTTTACAGACTCTCATGAACATTTTTGAGCGTTAAGGAAGACTATAGTGATCCTGAATTCAAACATAATACTTGTATTTTCATTTTCAACTAAACAAACTGCCCCTGGTAAAGGACAGAGTGCGATTTAAAAGATGGTGAACAATTTACGGAGACTCTTTTGCCAAAAAATCGTTAGTGATAAAACAAACACCGAAAGAGAGCTGATATTAACCCTCAATCAAATTTCTTATTAAGCGAGCCGTCCCTTTTAAAGTTAAGAAATCCACGGCATTACAACCACACAATTAGCACTTTTCCTTGTGAAAAATATGCATTAATCGCTTGAAAGAACAGATCAAAAATGAATTAATTAATAATAACTAAATTTATTTAACAGAATAAAAGAAAAAAATCACAATATTTTTCAACAAAGCTAATCTTTGAACAAACGCTTGGTAACAGGTTCAGAACCATATACTGTACAGCAAAGACTTAAATAAATAATTTCTTTATTCACACTAAATAAAAAGATGACTAGGAGTTCTCATGAACAAATAATACATAATTAACTGTTACTTCACGCATGCACCATCACATTTAGAATGCAACAGAATATTAAAAATTATATTTTCTGATTATTAGAACGTAGAGAAGGAGGTTTTCATTGACAAGCATTATCACCCAAAATTGAACAACAATGACAGCCGTAAGCAATTGTAAGCAACCCAATTGCTACTTTGATAGATTCCTACCAGAAACTGCAGTACACTTTTTATAAATATACTAAGGTTCGTTTCTTCTTTACCCTGAACTGAGCAAATTGACCAAAAGCGCTAATTACAGTTACGAGTCAGATCTAGCATGAAAATATAACTGGCGAAGTATTCCAGTTTCTAAAATTCTCGGTTTGTTAATTTTATTTGATACAAAAAAGAACCTATATCAAAAACATAAAACCATAAAACTGCAAAAGTTTGTCAAAATAAATAACCTTCCACTACGCTCAAATATTTGATCAGTACGTTTGTACATTTGGTTTTGGATTTAGAATTAATCTAGTTATGAACCCTTACATTCCAACTAAGATTATGATTTTATATTATGCATTATGAACGTTAACAATCACAAAAAAAAAATGATTAGAACATTATATTACAGCACTGGTTACATTGCAGAGCCCTTAAAGATATCACAAATAAAAATTTGGTAAACTAATTTTACAAATTCTTTGGTTTTGTTTTCAGATCAAATACCGTTCATTGTTTGAAGAATATACAATAAACATTATATTCAATATAATATTTTTACACATTTAACTTTAGACTAGAAAAATGTTTTAAAAGTTTCTGACTAGCTTCAACAACCTGACTAGTTTTAAAGTGATGTTTGGATTAATTCAGTCTTTGTTCAAAACGTTTTATATGTACAAAAAAAATTTACTCGTCCCACTTTGTTGGTAAATGTGCGCCCAACTTTTATCCTATTTATCTTCCTAAGGACTGTAGGCTTTCCTTTGTAAAGCCATGAACTCCCATGAGATGAATATCAGCGTTCTGTTTTCGTTTAAAATCCTTTCCGCAAATGTGACAATTCCGATGGGTGTGCAGCTTCATATGAGCGTCAAACTGAAGAAAATATATGTTGGAATGAATTACTTATTCTGAAGGTGTGTGCCTTTTGTTACAACAGTTTTTGCCTTCACTCCACTTTTACTACTTTGGCGGGTTGTTATACTAATCTGTCCCTTGGGATAGTTTAGTCAAATTATACAAATTCTTTTTAAGCAAATAATTTAACGAGAGAGATGGGGGGGGGTCACTTACTTTGATCTTATCTTATGTTTATATAAATATTAACTTTTTTAGTAAATAAAATTTATTTTTGGAGAAAAAGAAACAAAAACTTCCCAGCTGATATCCAATTTGTTTTTGTCTCTCTAAAAAGTTTCAAAATCATACCGGTGTGTGGGGGACGGGGGTGGGGCCTGGGGCTTATTTTTCACTCAATATAACCCTGAAATAATTCAAAAAAGGTAACCTGATACTGTTTGGCAAATGTTTTAGAGCATCCATCTTTATCACACTTAAAGTTGGTACTGTGCTTTCTAAAATAGGGATAAATAGTTAAAGGGACTGTTAACATAAATTCATGTGGCCATTTATATCATAGAATGATATGTACAGTAGTACCCTTTAAACATATTAACTAAGCAACAATAAGGAAGATATCGTCGTTTTTCTATGAAGCCAATATTAAAGAAAACTACAATGAAAAATAATCAATTTTTAGGTTTATAGGGTGCTGATTTGAATCTAATATGCCACTTTATAAATGAAAAGTCATTTAAAATCAGGTTTAAAGCTAATTTTAAAAAAACAATACTTTTCCACTTTGAACCAATCCTAGAGATACGCTTTCCTTTTAAGGGACTTCAAGTGTCATTTTAAGTAAACCTCCATGCAAAGATGGCAATGCCCGATTTACAACTGTTCCCTTAAAACCTTCGAATTTTCTTCGAGAACTCCCTGTTCATATCTCTAAATAACGAATATCCGTAATTCCGGAGTGTACGCTAGTGTGCAGTGTGAACTCAACTCAGCTAAAGATCTTTGTGTTCCTCGGATATAAAATATTTCACGGTCCGAGGAGTGTACGCTAGTGTACAGTGTGAACTCAACTCAGCTAAAGATCTTTGTGTTCCTCGGATATGCATATAGAATATTTCACGGTCCGAGGAGTGTACGCTAGTGTACAGTGTGAACTCAACTCAGCTAAAGATCTTTGTGTTCCTCGGATATAGAATATTTCACGGTCCGAGGAGTGTACGCTAGTGTACAGTGTGAACTCAACTCAGCTAAAGATCTTTGTGTTCCTCGGATAAGATATTTCACGGTCCGAGGAGGTTTTCAAATATTCACTTCTTGAAAGTAATTATAAATACTTCAATCTAAAACAACTTGTCAAGTTTTCATTAGTATCCAGCGTTTTTGTAGATTTATGAGAATTAAGAAAATGTCCTTCGTCCCTTGATCAGTTATAAGTTTAGACGGTTTAGAGGTCCCCTTTAATGTTTTTTTCTACAACTAAAAAAAGATATAAAATCCTACTTTATCCTGTCGATGTTCAGTAACAAATAAACTCTGTATACATCAAGGCTGTACAAAAAAAAAACTTTTTTTACGATGCATGTTTTTTTCTGATTAATTAATGATTTTAGACATCTATCTCCAGAAGTGTGTTCTATTAAAGGAAACTAGAGGTTGCTCTGATGTTCGTGGAAGATTTTGTTTTGGAATTATTCTGATGAAAATCATATCTTATTTTCATTGTTAAAAAAATCAGTTAAAATATATATTTTTTTTACATACTTAGTTTAGAAATGTTCTTAGTGTCCAAAGCTTCTATGCAGTTTTATGTAATGCAATTTTTGTCTATGCAAATACGTTGCAGCACTAAGTCCAATATAGATTTTCTCAATATTGCTAGGTTTAATGAAGACAAATTTATTCAAATTTTGACTTCACGTGAAAAAGCGGCTTGGACAAGAGGTTACAACAAAACAATGCAAACATTTCAACAAAAATCTTATTTGCATGAGTTGCATCAGAGTTTTACAAAAATTTGATACTCCATCACCAACCGTTTGTGTGACACCCTGTATAGTGTTTACCTTGCAAGATGTCTCCTAAGTGCGGTGAGTGCAAACATGATTGGAATATCACACATGTGACAAGGATACTTCGGAGGTTCTTTTCGTTCCTTCTTTTCTTGGTTCTTATTTCCGGTTTTCTGAAAAAAATAGATTCAGGTTTATTCATTTCCTACTTTTGTAATGTTTTTAATCCCCCCTCTTCATATTTGTTTACTCTTGCCAACGTAGTCATATGTGATCATTAAATTAAAGAAAGTCATAATCGTTGAAGCTCATTATCCATCACCCCTTTTTATAGTAAAAGATTAGATTAGAGTTACTTTTAGAAAATTCACAACTCTGTTAATTTAAAATGGGTTGTATTTCGAGAAATGGCAAAATCTTTAAATTAAGGATTACTTAACAGTGGCTAAATGCACATCCGAGATTTTAATGCATTATACAAAGGTCTCAGTGATCTCACCTTCTTTTCCGTTTTCTGTTCATGATGGGCTTTAGAGTGATGTCTTAAATTCTTTTCGTTCTTGAAAAATTTTAGACAATCCTCACACTGAAAGCTGTCATTGTCCTTGTGTCTCTGCTCGTGCCTTTCTCTGTAATTATTAAGTTAGATGACTGTAAATTTTGGTTTATATCATAATAACGGCCATAAGGGCAAAAAACAAAAGACAAACTCTTTTCTTACTCTCACAACTTGTAAAAGTTTGCACTGTAATCAGACCCATTTCACTTATGCAGTCAATTTAAGCTACCGGTAAAGGATAAGTACCTTTGCGATATACTGTCTAGTGGTATGAAAGGTTAAAGTACCTATGGGATATACTGTCTAGGGGTATGGAAGGCTTTTAAGTACCTATGGGAAATATTTCTAGGGGTATGGAAAGATAACGTACCTATGGGATATACTGTCTAGGGGTGTGGAAGGATAAAGTACCTATGGGATATACTGTCTAGGGGTATGGAAGGATAAAGTACCTATGGGAAACTATCTAGGGGTATGGAAGGATAAAGTACCTATGGGATACTGTCTAGTGGTATTGAAGGATAAAGTACCTATGGGATACTGTCTAGGGGTATTGAAGGATAAAGTACCTATGGGAAATACTGTCAAAGATGATTCCGCAAAAAGAGCATCTATAGGCGATTCGTTCACTAGGCGCCATATGGGTCAATTTGTGTTTATCCAGCTCACGGTCAAACCTTAAACATATTCATCGTACAGCTGACATCAAAACTGTGGATCTAGTGATTAACGTTTGAGCCTTAAATATGTGTGATTTGTCGATTGATAATTTTAAATTTGCTGTTTAAGTCGATGAAAAAAGTGAATAAAATGTTACACTACATTAATTATAAATCATAGCAAATCTGGAAAGCAATAATATAATTTCGACTAGATCCTTTCTAGTGAATTAAAATAAACCTGCAATTTCCCTGCACTTTCGTGAATAAAACTTATTTTGATTTTCTATTTTCCAAAAATAATACTTCGGATTCCCCAAGTGTGTTATACTCACAAACCTGAAAGGTCTACCACATATATCACACTCTAGCTTGTATGGGTTCTCACTGTGCTGCGCTCTCTCGTGTTTCATCCTCCCTCCGTATGATGCAAATATAGCTCCGCACTTCCATCTTAATAATTTTTAGTTTTACTAATTAATATAATGAATTAAGTCTATTCGCATTATCGTAAAACTAAGATATTCCTTTCAAACTCAAATCAAAACACAACATCAAATTTTTATAAATAAATAAAGTAATTTTCACTTTTCAGTAAAAAAAATTGGTTCTTATTTTAAAGGAAAGAAATTTTGCAAACTTGCAGGTTAGACAGGCCTAGCTTTTTACGACGATGTTCAAACTATAAGAAATATAAAAACAATTAATTCATGAAAAAAAATTGATAGAACTCGCATCAAATGCACAATTGTTTAGTTAAAGGATAAAGGAAGTATTAATCATGAAACAAATACACCCCTCAACCCTGAAAAGATACGAGAGATACTGTACTTAAAAAGTTAAAATTAGTTTGGACAACTAAAAGATATTTTAAATTACAAATAAAAAGGTTACAAGGGATTCAGATCCGTAGATATAGGACAGATCAAAAAGGATTCGGGATCAAAGGCAGTTTTAACTTTAAGACTTTACCTGCAAGCATGAGGCTTAATGCCTGTATGGCTGTACAGATGACGCTTCATGTGACCGTGAACAAAAAAGCGTTCTCCACAGACCTCACAAGAATATCTCATATCTCCAGTATGTTTTCTGCAGAAAATAAATTAAATATAGAATTTTTTACATTTTATCTTTTTAATTAATTTTTTTTAATTCAATGCATCGCCGTGTAATTGACAAGCTACCTGAAATGTTCTTTAAGATGTTGACGTTTTCCATACTCCTTACCACAGCCCGGAAACTCGCACTTAAAAATAAAACTTTCTTTAAGATCGACTTTTACTAAGTTTCCCCCCAAAAAATCAACTGATGATTTCTTCTTTTTCACTCTAAGGTTTTTAATTGTTCTTGGGGATTCTAAACAAACATATTACCAAATAATATTTTTGTATTACAAATTAGTTATTTTAGTGTCGATAGACTTCCCATCACGCCAAATAACCATTGAGTATATTCATTGATTATGGACGAATTATTAGAACCATCAAACCTTGTATTTATCGTCAGCTCCGTCCAAGTCCTCTATTTCTCTTCTGGTTGGTTCTCGATGAACGCTTCTCACGTGATCTCGTAAACTCTTAATTATCATCATTATGTAAAAAACTTTAATCAACTACTAACAATATGCCTTATCTATTTATTATGCGAGACCTGGCTCCGGGTTGGTTTTTGGCCTGGAAGGAAATAAAAAATGTACTCCCTGAATTAATCTAAAATTCGCAGATGAAATCGAGAAACATTTGTGAAGTTTATTTCTTTATGTATTATGTTATGTAATTAAATTAACATTTTCTGAGTCTGAAATCTTTGCAACTAGATATCAGGTAACATAGATAAAGGGATTTGAAGTTTGAAGCGATTGATCAATTTGAACTAAAACCTAGTCCACATATTTTTATACTCCATTATTTTGTATCCGTTAGAAATATTACCTTGCTTTCTTTAAACTTGAGTACACACTCCTTGTAAATACAGATGTATGGCATGGGGGCATTATGGACAGCCTAAATAAAATATTAAAGTTATAAGGTTCAATATGAAGGATATTCTACTAACCAATGAAAATCAGTGGTTGCCGTCTTCGTACTTAATTTTAATAAAAAACGCCGGTAAAAATAGTTTAATTTGTACCTATATATCAATACCAATCTGAAAACATGTCCCGGAGCTTTAATTTAGATTATCGTTATTCGTTAATCTTGAAACCTTTGTTCTTGATATGCTATGTTGGCACTTTTAAGTGTATGGATAAATTAAAGTTATCATTACAGGGTATGACCACCAAAGAATGTAAGAGGGTTTAAAATAATCCATAGGTCTGCAAAACATGGAGATTGTGGTTGAACCTGTGAGTCACAGCACAAAAGAATAGAATATATATTAGAGTGGAATTTAGACAATCCCTCGGTACAACAAAATGGCCGTTTTACACTTTTTTCTATTAAATTCCACTCTAATGTATATTCTATTCTCTTTGATCACAGCACAAAAGCTCCACCTTGAGGGCAAATTTTTCAGAGATAAAGCAGCTACACTAACGAAGTTTTTTTGTTTATTGCTGCAAGGCTACAATAAAAAGTTTAAAAAAACTTGGCAATTAAAAAATGACTAAACAATTTGTTTACTTAAAAACTTACCTTAAGGTGTCTGTACAAGTTGTTGGTTCTAGTAAAAGTTGTTTTACAAGACTTATACGGACACTGAAAATATAATAAAGATGATTCGAGCGTCCATTGAGCGTTCAGCTTTGGTTTACTAGTTCATTAACAAAAAGCTGGTTTAGGATTGACGTATATTTTTTTCTTTTCTTTGAAATAATACATTTTTTGATCAGTAAGAAATAATTAAATAACAAAAATGACGCATTTAACCTTTTGCTTCCAAAAAAAGACATCAACATTTTTTTGTGGTGCGTTTTCTTTCAGATTAACAATTGTGTCTTGAATATCCGACACTTTTTAAAGTTAAAGCTTACCTTGAGGGTGCGGACAGGTATGTCATGTAGCTTGATGTGTCTAATGATAAACGTTGACTTGATATGTTTCATACATTTAGGACATCTAGAGTAGTCACCAAACGTTTCAATCTATCAGAAAAAAAACAAGCTTAGCTATTTTGTAGTAAGAAAAATTCATAATAATTTAGCCTCTTCATGTAAAACTGTAGGGTTTACAAATCAAGGAGTGGAAATCTTTACACATGAGGGGGCATTGAGCCGTTACACTTTACCACGTGACTCAAATACAAGCTTTGCTAACAATCCTTTATTTGGAAAAGAAGGTCTCTTATTTCAAGCTGAGATGTTGTTCTTCTAAGCAGTGTAAATGCATGCAAATATCAAAGTGATTCACTTTGTGCAAATATGGACCGGTAGAAATCTACGAAAACTTTTCACCAACCTGAAATCCTCCAATATCAACTATCTTTATATCTTCGAAGTTAATATCATTTTCTCCCATCTCCACCTTTAACTCAGACTAAAAAAATAAACCATGATATTGGTTTAATCTATAGAACTTTTCTAGAATGTTTGTTAAAATAAATTTTAGTTCTATTTTTAGAATTTTAAAAACCTGGTCCAAGGAATCCTCATCATCTACATCCAGTATTCTTAGGTTGTCTTTGATATCCTCAAGATCAGGACTCAAACTAAATATAAAAACACCATCAGAATCATGACTAATACTGGAGGAACTTAAAGATCTTTTTAAAAGCTGGATTATACAGGTTAACATATTCGAAAAAATTGTAAATTAAAGGGCAGATAGACGTAATTTCAAGTTAGTTTTTATTTATAAATGTTTGCAGGGTACCTTTCTTCAAATGGAAGTCATTTGAAATTACAACTACCCTTTTAAAATATTTTGGTTCTAACCCCCCCCCCCCCCCCCTACCCAAAAAAACCTAATTCCAAGTAACATGTTTTTAATCCTTTCACGAGCAATTATAGGTTTTATAATTAAATGTTTAAACAAACCTGTGCACTCTTCTCCTGCCTTTAATAGTGAAATCCTCATCATCAAAATCGTCGTCGTCGTCATCATCATCATCATCATTATGCTCCTCCTGCGCATCATCTTCATCTGTATCATCATTCTCGGGATCGCTCTCATCATCTTCACCTGGTGAATTAGACTTGCCCTCATGAGACTCTGGGTCATCAATATCCTCGTCAGTATCCTCGGCCTCTTGGAGTTTACTCTTCTCTCGACCAGATCTAACACGACTCAATGAACCAGGTTTCTAGACCCAGATATTTCATATTTAACCGAGAAATAAAACAACAAAAACCGTAGAAGTGGATTACAGGACAAAAGCAGGGCAAATGGAAAATATTTTAAATTAAAATCTCTTAACACTTTTGATAGAATATCTAATTTGTCTCTTTAAGACGGTTAAATGAAGAACATTTTAGAAAAATTCGTTCAAGATACGCGTATTTGAATAAAAAAATGTTAGGAATATCAGTTCATAAAATATCTTTGTTTTCCTTCTGATGCTCCTCCACAACTCTATAGTTCTTACTCCAATCTCTAAATTTAAAAAAACCGATAATAAACCAACGCAAAACTAGCAGTGAAAAAAAATATCGCTATCATTTGATTTTGTCAAACATATTCCATTTCCCCCCCTGATGTTTTCAAACTCATTTTTTTCGATTTCAAATATTAGCCTTTTGGCCTCTAGAATCGAGAATTAGAAACCTTTGGCCTTCCCAATCAAGAAATATTAACCTATTAGGAATTGGTTTGTGGGGTTTTTTCCCCCCCCCCCCCCTAGAATCCTGGAGGTAATTACCCCCCCCCAGAATTTGTTTTTAAAAAAAGGTTGATTTTAAAATAGAATATCTTTAAAATTTGCACGAAAATAATTTAAATGTGCAGATACTTCAGATATTTCAGATTTTAAGTCAACATATTCGATATTATTCTAAATTCTAAAGTAATAGTCAATGTCAATACAATTAGATGTTTTTTTAATAGAAAAAAGGGTATGGGCCAGAAGAAAACATTTTTACTTCTAAATAATGTCATTTCCATATTAGATGTATTTAAGATCTTAGCATACTACATAGACGACGACGAAGAAAATTTTAGAAATTAGAAATTAGCAGAGGTGCAACTAATGGGGGGGCGGCCGGGCACGCGCCCTCCCCTAGCACCTGAGAGGGGGGGCGCGCCCCCTCATGCAGAATGATAAGAAAGACTGGCGAATATCATTATCACAGGAGTCAGGAATAATAAAACCAATAGAGTTATTGTAGAAATTGTATTCTTCTAGGGTTAGTTTAAAAAAAATAAAATCTTTCTGAATCCTCAAGGCTAAAGGCTATTGTAAAAATTTAATGTAAAAAAGTTCCGAACTGTATTCAAACTATGATTTTTTTTGGTAAAATATTCTAAGTTTGAAATATCAAAGGTTTACACCACTCGGTGCAAAGATTTAGGGATTAGAATATTTGAGTTTGTGCCAAAAACTCAGTTCCAAATCTAGAGAACATTCTGAGACTGAGCCAGACAAACTTCTAACTGATAATCATATTTGATAACTGTAAAGTGTTAATCTTTTTGAAAGAACTTCTATAAAATCGAAAATGACATAAGATTATGAATGTTGGTTAGAATGATCAATCATAAATTCAATAACTTCAGGAGAAAACGTAACATTATCTGTTCTTTTTCCATGTAGATGATTAAAATTATATATATATTTTGATGTGTTTTTTTCAGAATATATAAATGATTATTTCTTAATTATATCTGTAATTAAACATGGTATTTAACAAATTTTCTTTGGCGCTCCGCGCACACATGAAAAGAATTGATTGACTCATATCGTTAATTTTACAGTTGTTGAAAATATAAATTTTTAAAAAACACTCGAAAAAAAGCTATTTAAATTGAACACAGCCAAATCTCAATGCAACAACTGAAAATTTCCTTTTTTCGACATTAAACCTTTAAAAAAGCACTTTATTTTGAAAAAATTTTCTAAATGGGGGGGGGGGGTAAGCCCCCCTTACACCCCCCACAGACCATTACAAAATAATATTTTGCCCCCCCCTTAGCAAAAGTGCTAGTTGCGCCTCTGGAAATTAGAATAAAACAAAGCCAATATTTTTTCAAAGTTTTGCAGAGTAGCTTTTCTAAAGATTTAAAAAAGTAACATCTTTTTCCTCTTAGAGTAAAACTATTTGTTATGTTACTAAAAATAAATTCATTTTTTTACAGATCTTTGTAGTTGATGTAAAATGAATGACTATAATGAATATAAAACAAGGTGAAAGCTGAAAGATAAAAATGAAGCCTTTATTTGATAGAGTTTGTAAATGCCAAAAATGAGTGGAAAATGCAAATCAAACCCAACTAAAACCAATAATTTGATATACACCATGATATTTTTCTAGGGGGGTAAAAAAAATTCTAGGGGGGTAAAAAATCCTTATTTACAGAATCAAGAAATATTAATGGGCATTGACGTTCTCAATAAAGAAATATAAACCTTTTGCCCTCCAGAATCAAGAAACATTAACCTATTTTGGACTACTACCCATCAAGAAATATTAACCCAATGACCTCCAGAATCAAAAAATATTAACCTATTGGCCTCCAGAATCAAGAAATATTAATGAGCATTGACCTCCTCAATAAAGAAATATAAACCTTTTGGCCTCCAGAATCAAGTAACATTAACCTATTTTGGCCTACTACCCATCAAGAAATATTAACCCAATGACCTCCAGAATCAAGAAATATTAACCTATTGGCCTCCAGAATCAAGAAATATTAGTGGGCATTGACCTCGTCAATAAAGAAATATAAACATTTTGGCCTCAAGAATCAAGAAACATTAACCTATTTTGGCCTACTACCCATCAAGAAATATTAACCCAATGACCTCCAGAATCAAGAGATATTAACCTATTGGCCTCCAGAATCAAGAAATATTAATGGGCATTGACCTCCTCAATAAAGAAATATAAACCTTTTGGCCTCCAGAATCAAGCAACATTAACGTATTTTGGCCTACTACCCATCAAGAAATATTAACCTATTGGCCTCCAAAATCTCTTGTTCTGCCACTATCTCCCAGTCCGGGTTTATTTCTTCCTTGAAAACCTGAAATATTCTTTTAATTAAAAACTTTGAAAGGATTAATTATAAAAATTTGTTCATATCAGACAAATATTGTGGAATGTGGACTTGTATTCTGGTAAGGCATGTATTGAACATTTTTGTAATATTGTATAACTTTAAAATAACGAATTTATCTGCTATGGTTGAGCTGGGTTGGTATACCTGTATGTGATCACTGCTATTAACAATCTTCTCCTTTTCCTTTTGGTAGTTTATTGGCCAGTAATTATCAACTAAATTATAAAATTTCAAAAAATTTCAAACTTTTTAATCTACGAATTTCTACAATGATTTCCATTTTTCCGATAAAGAAATCGAACAACACATTATACTTGAAGGGGTTACTTCATTATTCAACTTTTTTGGGTATTATTGCAGAATACAGATATTTTAAATACTAGGCTTTTTAGGACGCTTCGCGCCCATCTTCTATTTAAATTGTGAACATGTTCTTTTTGTTAACATTTTAAAACAAAGAAAAAATTTTTGCGGATTTTTAAAAAAAATGCGCTGATTTTTAAGAATTAAATTTTTTTTCACAAAATTAAAAACATTTAAAACACATTTTTATTTTTATCATTCATAAACCTTCGGACTGTGGTCACGTGATATCCCACAAAAAATTTGGGCCCTATCGGTTCAGCCGTTTTGACGTTTATTGGATACAAACAAACAAACAGACACCCAGACAGACAAGCCAAATTTATATATATTGATGAAATTGTATTTCTAACAATTCAACGTTCAAAGAGAATAAGAACCGGAAAACATTTATATAAAAGCTAAAATCTGTCAAATAGACTTTATTTATTAAATATCACCATTTTCATATACATTTTTGGTCAATATTTTCAAAGATGTTTTTTAGTTTTTCCACTTAAAACCTGATCATGTAATTAGAGATCAAATATGGAATTTACCTTTTTCAAGAAGCATAACTGGTTTCTTAGATAAATCTATTTTACATATTTCCGGATCAAAGTGAAGGCGAACCATCTCCTGTACTGTCAAATACTTGCCAAACCTTATTCAAAATATCAAATATTTTAACTTTATTTCTTGGGTAAAAAATATTTTCAATGGAATAATAAAAATAAAATTTCTAAATTTTTAATAAAAAAATGGAATTTAAAGTTGAGAAGAAGACGCCATTCGAAAGCGGTTCTAACAAGTTCTTTGGCTTATGTTGTTTTCAAGCCAAATTTGAACATTTTGATTAAAACTTGAAAACCTTGAGACATAAATTATATAAAAATAACTTTTTGCGTTAGAAGAGTGAAAAATTAAGAATAATTACTAAGGTTACTACTTAATAGACTTTTATAGCGCTTTTAAGTAATTTATCTTATAACTGTTTCTTTTCAAGTCACCTTTTACTTCACTCTCTAAAACCAAATTTTCGCGGCTTTTTTGTTTAAATAGTGGATTTTCAAAAATAAGATATGTCGATATTTTTTCCAGGCAATTTCGACTTATTCCATTTCTTGGGTTATGAAAGTTGCCAGACAAAAATTGTGTCCGATCTGTTTGGCAATTTAAACGTATATAGAATACAAACAAACAGAGAGACGGTCGAAATTTATATTATCCAATGTATATTTATAAGTTGAACCTTAATATTTTTTTCGGTGCTATTTGATGAAAAAATTTGCTAATTATTACAGAATATAATCTTCTGTGAGCAAAGTCTTATTCAATATACCTATTTTTCGTAAAGTAAATAAACAAATTCTTAAATCCAGAAAATAAGTAAATAAAAATATTATATTGTGAAATCCAAAAAACCTTACCCATCCTGATTATTATTTTTTCCAGGCGCGTAACAGCTTCTTGGATATTTATCTTTTCCATGATCTACTTCATCAGAACCTTCTATGTCTATGGGTTCATCCTTGATATCTAACTCATCCTTGACAAAATTAGACCTAAAGCTTTACTTATTGTTATATATAGAAATATGCTCGCAAAGAAAAACAAGGGCCATGGTCTGGGCATTCATCAACATTAACGCCAACTACATTTTTAGTCGTTTTGACAGTTTTGTCATAATCTGGTAGTCTTGTCCAATGTCCATTGTATAATTCAATTGAGTCAAATATGATTCTATTAAATGTTATTCAACCCCCCCCCCCTTCCCAAACTTTGCCTTATCTCCTGACATACAAACTTGTCCGTCAAAGTATAACGTACTCCCGATATCTACATTGCTAATGCTTGCCAATCGTAACATGCTCTAACCTTCTAAAAAAGGCTAAACTCTGTCATCAATTAATCCTGATCCTAGGCTTACTTGAGAAAATGTTGGTTGCTCTTGAACAATGTCTGCTTCAAGTTTGATCTGTGGTAGTTCATCAGCATTCACAAGGAACTCAGACCTCGAAAAATACAAGTTTAGACAAGGGATCAATAAAATTCAATTTGACACTTGCACAAGGTCTAATATTGAATTTAAATTCGTGTATTTTGAGTTATCTTATACCCATTTTTACATGTTAATAAACTGTTGTTAGAAAAAAGGGTAAAAATTTGAAGTAATTGACAACTACCGATCCACAGGTATAGATGGGCGTCTTTTTTTGAACGAACGAAAATTTTTGTGAAAAAGGGTGTCGTTCAGAAAAAACGAACAATGGACGATCACATGTATGGTTCAGATAAATTAAAAGATTATCGTTTTTTAAAACGACCGAAAAAAACGGATGATTTAAAATCGTTCGAACGATATTGAACGTTCAAAGGACGATTTTGTTCGTTTTTTCCTGAATGAACGAATTTTACGAAAAATAAAAAAACTATAGTATTTTCTCTGAACGGGCGATTTTACTGAACGATTGTTAAGTGAGAAAACAAACGAAATAGATGGAAAATAAACGAACGAAAGCAATTTTTTTGAACTATTGAAAAAACGAACGAAATGGGCCGTTCATGAAGGATTAACAAAAGAAATGAAGGAAAAAACGAACGCGCCCATCTCTATCCACATTTCACAGACTTTTCTTTCGCATCTGCAAAAGAGCCAAGGGAGGGGGGGTAGGCAGTTGGATATTTTAGAGGCTGAGATAATTATATTTTTGCCTTGCGTATGTCTTGATTTCATTATGATAATGAACTTAATTAATGTATTCTGATTTTTTGCTATAAATCGACTCATTTGGACACTAAACACTTTTAATTGTCTTAAAAATCAAATGTTTTATAACATAAGCACAAAAATATACTTAAATTTGTTCTTATTGCAGCAACAAAGGTATGTCTAAAATTCACATTATAGTTGTATAGAAGATTTTGATGAAAATAAGATTAGACCAGAAAAAAAGAAAAATTGAAGAATTAAGTTAACACGCAAAAACAATTAATTTCTTGAAAATTTTGTAATTTGATCTGTTTCGGTTAGTCGATGTACAATGTACATTATCATACAACACTGCACAATTCGACATACATAATTATCCTCTTCCAACACACAAACGATTTTGTTTTCTTGGTTCATAAAATGGTGATTGGTGATATCAACAGCAATTCTAAAATAGATCTTAAAGGGACTTTAAGTGTAGTCACAAATTATCCTCCATGCAAAGATGCCTGATTCACAACGGTACCCTAGAGATTTTTATCTGAATAAAAATTTGTTCTAGTATGTAGTAGAAATGCGCAAGTCAATTTTGCAGAGAACCTAGAATTGAAATTAATCAATAACATGTCACTTTAAATTCGAGATGCTATAGACCAAATCATAATCATTTATATATAATAAAAGTTATTTAAGCTAAATAGCAATTGTAGCAATCGATGTTGACGTAAAAAGATTGATTAATGGATGTAAGCTATAAAGTAGCAAGGCTGAAAAATGCATCACTAACAATTGAGGACATATTGAATGAAAAAGATTATATTAAAATAGAGCGCATGACAAATTAACAGTTTTATTCACTTCTATACTTGAAACCTGATATTTTAATTTATCTGAATAAATATGTGAATGCAGAGATATATTTTAAATAAGTGTAGGTCTTTAAACCACTAAATGGTATCTATTAATAGAAAATGTCGAATTTTCAGACTTGCAGTAAAATTCGAACAAAGATTAAAGCTTTACTTCTGTTAATCAAAAAACGTTCGTAGGAATGAAGAGACTAAAATGGGGGGGGGATGAATTAGGCCGGCTCTGCCCTATAGACCCCCCCCCCCCCCACACCTTTAGTACAAGACCCATGTTCAACAATATTCATAACATCGATTTTGTATTAATTCAGGGTTTTGAAAGGTTGATCGACCATGTATAGGCCCTGTCCAAGCGTTGCAGCGAGAATGCTGATAGGACCGGGCCCTGCGATAAGGACTGGCTAGTAAGACGAGCACCGCGGCTAGGGTTGACCATGAAGCTGTCTGTACAAAATTGATAGGAGAGAGGGGGTGGTCAAATAGCGTTCCCCAGTAAATTCTGAATTTGCTAGGAAACGCTGTTTGACCCCCCCCCCTCTCTCCCGCATGTACCTGGTACCATTATAATAAATTTTTCACCTTTGATTTGTTGCTCCTGGATCTTCTTTATTATCTGAACCATATTCTTTATTATCGTCCGTGTTGTTGTTAAACACATCTCCGTCGTCAACCTCCATTTTATATTCCTCATTTTCTCCATTCTCCTCATTCTCCACAAAACCATCCTCAGGATGTTTAATAGCTGTAACACCATTATTGTTCAAAGAACTTGAACGTACGAATGTTGACATCATGTACAAAATTATATTTACAATTTGCGTCTTGTTTAACAAACGTGATTCACATTATATCTGAAAAATGCGTATGAAGTTACGGTAATCTTAAGACTTAACAACTGACAACGTCTTTCCTTTCTGCTTTCCCATTAGCAACTCAGCCTATATAATTGAGACAGGCACCAGCTTTTTTTATTTAATATTCTTCTCTCATTCACTTAAACATTCCTAACTGGAACATTTATATCCAAATCAATGATTCTAATTTCTAATCCTAATAGACGTATGCAGTAGTTCACTTCATTTAATCAAATCATGTGCACTCTGGAAAATATTTTTGCAGTTTAAGTTTATCATGCGTGTTTTAACTGAAAAAGGACTATCTATACTTAAACAAAAAATGCTTTGGACAAATGAGTTATTGACAATCAATGATTGACTTACTGGGGTTGAGGAAGACTGTGAGACTTCAAAGACCAACTCTAAAATATGAAAAATCTCACCTAAAGTACTAAAAAAAATCCTGAAAAATCTAAGACAGAACTAGTCAATTCAAGCAATTATTACCAAAAATAACATTGGATTTTTGTAAAAATATGGATAATTGATCATTTTCAGACTTAAATAACATATATTATTTAGTATTAATTTATCATGCGTCAAATCTGTGTACTGCAGTGGGAGGAGATCAATACAAGGAATTTCGGGGCAACGCATCATTTTTGGGGGAAAGGGCCCAAAAGGTGGAATAAGAATATATTGCTATTGTATTTTCCATATTGACCAGAAAGCCAAAAATTTTAAGTATTCGCTCTAACTTGATATATTAACTTAATTTTTGTTGGAATGTAATATCAAATCAGAGCTGTGGTCCTTTCCCTTTAACTCCTGTGGGGGCACTGGGTTTGTTTACATTCCACCCAGTCCCATTGTACAAGCCATAATATGCGTATATCTGAGTTGGGCGTTCCTGTATATAGTTCCATGTGTGATCCTATGAAAAATTTGTTTTGGCCAGTTCTTAATTTTTATCGTTTTCTGCTCATTGACACTATTGATTATCTTTTAAAAATTTCACTAGGACGGACCCCAAATACCGGTTCGGGTATATTCCTAGAGAACGATTTTTGGATCCCCCCCGCCCCCGTCCCCCTCCCTCCTCTCAATTTTGTACATGGATCTTATTTGTTAGACATGGATATAATTGACCATGTGGCCACAGCGCTCGGCCCCCTAGCCTGTCCAAGCCGCAGCGCTCGGCCAAGTAAGTGTCTTAACTAACCTAACCCGGGGCCGCAGCGCTCGTCCCAGAAAGTGTCTTAACCTAACCTAACCCTAAATAATAATAAATAAATATTAATTTAATAAATCGTTCTCTATGAATATACCCAAACACTCTTTCGTTAAAGACACAAATACATGACGTTTCCGCCCCCGTATAAATCTAAGTGCAAGTTACTTGGCAACATTCTGGAGGGGTGAGTACATCTGTACGCAACGTACACAGAACTTAGTACATACTACATATTACATTCTCAGCTGATCCCAACATAATTTTTTAACGAGCAAACATATGTTAAAGCATTTTTACTTAACCCAAACCAGGATTGTATACCTTTGACAAAAACACTTTAAAAAAATCAGTTTCTTATAATATTTTTTTCAGAATTAAGTGCCTGAAGTAAAAGTGCCATAAAAACAAAGAGAATAGAATATATATTAGAGTGGAATTTAATAGAAAAAAGTGTAAAAAAGCCATTTTGTTGTACTGTTTCCATACTGCAGATGTACTTCACATTTTTCCGCTATATAACCTTTTGGGCCCTGGAACATCATTTTATAGAAAATCCAAAATTAATGTTAAAAGAAATACCAAATTATGAAATAAGGCTGGTTTCATATTTGACCAATGATCATTTCACATAGACTCTATGCCTTTTACTTTACAAATGATGATTTTTCGTTATAACTATAAATCAAATGATGGTATTTATTCGCCTTATTTATTTTATAATGTTTATTTAACAGCTTTAAAAAATTCGAAATAGAAATGGATAGTCTAGGGAACATACTGTATCAATGTACTCTACTGCAAAAAATTTGTGAACATTTACATGATTTGTACACTTTCAACTCGACCCTAGACTGAAACGACCTGACAAAATTCATGCCGAGGGATTGTCTAAACTCCACTCTAATATATATTCTATTCTCTTTGCATTAAAAAAAAAATTGGGTTGCAATGCATGTTTAAAATCCAGCTTAATGATGAAAAAAATTAGACCGCTAACCTTGAGAGGTTCCAGGCACCTGGCGCGCAACTAGATATTTTAAGCGCAACATTTTTTTTGCCAGATTTTATTCAGTTTGGGGCAAATTTGTGTGGGAAAAATCTTAAACTATATTTCAGGGGCAAATTTTATTTTTGGAGACAATTTTTCAGTTGCGGTAAATCTTAAATCTTTGTTTTTGGGGCAAATTTTATTTTTGGTTTATTTAAGTTTCGTAAAGAACCTGTAAAATCATTCGTTGGGATGTTTAGAAAGATGAAAATTTCCCTGTATGATAATTGAAGTATTTCAGTATGGTTTTGGTGAATTATATTGACGTACTAAGCCTAGGGGTGTCAGAAATGATTTTTTTCGCATTTTTTTGAAAACGTCCAATAATCCTAAAAAAGTTTAATTTTGATAAAACTTTTCGTTCTGGATGATTTAATTATCATACAGGGAAATTTTCATCTTTCTAAACATCCCAACGAATGATTTTACAGGTTCTTTTGTTTATGGGAAATCTAATTGTTTATTTTTTTTGGGGGGGGGTCAATTTTTTTATTTAAGGGCATTTTGTAAACATGTAAAGGAAAATGTTTTTTAAACTAAGGGTTATTTTTTTGTTGTGATAAAAACTAAATTTTTTGAGCATTACCAAAAAAAATAAGGGGCTTTTTTAGGTAGGGCTGTAAATTTTAAATTTGGTTGTATTTATAAAACATTTGGGATAAAAAAAATTAATTTAGGTGCTTTAAAATATTTGATGGAATTCTCAAAAACCAAGGGTTACAAATGTTGAAAAAAGTGGGCTTTAAGTCTGGTGGGGCTATTTGAATAAGAAAGTGTGTGTATAATTTTTAAAATCCAGAGGGCTGTTTTTAATCTGAATTTATTTTGAAAAATGTCATCGTGGAATTTAAGTTTGCCTTGCCCCCATTTCCCCCCCCCCCCCACCTTATTTGTGCGCCTGCCGGGCACTCTGCACCTAGGACACCTCTAGGGCTGGGCAAGTTCCAATTTTTTTTAAATCGTTCCGTTCTAGAACGAGGGCCCTCTGCTAGATAGTTCATTTCTCATTCCTTTGTTTTCCATTTATTCTGTTCTTGTTCTGTTCTGTCCTGTTTCGTTCCATTCTTAATCTAAGAACGGCCATCTTATTCCATTCCATTCATGTTGTTCTTAGTCAAGAACGGTTTCATCCTCCTGTGTTTAGTCAATTTGTAGATTTTTAAAAAATAATTAATTTTCATGATCAATATTTTAATAATATTAAAAAGATTATTCTAAACAATTTCTTTCAACCTTAATCTCACCTCCCTCACAGGTGGGGCGGGTTTAGAGTTGGGGGGGGGGGGTTAGGTGGTCGAATCAAAAAAATCTTTTTTATTATTTCTAGATGAGTTAGTATACAATATACATTCCTGATTTAAAATGCGTTCCTGACTTATAACGCCTTCTTGATAATAAGAATGCTTTCATTATTTTGAACGTTCTTTTAAGCTAATATCCCTTCTGTTCTTCTCCGCTCTGTTCCGTTCCAATATTTTAAGAACGAGTTCTTTCCGTTCTGTTCTTTTTCAGAACAATGGGATTGTTCTTGATAGTTCCATTTGTTCTTGTGAAAGAACTATAGTTCTTCAAGAACAACGCCCAGCCCTAGACACCTCCACTTTATCTTCGGTCAGTGTACTGCAGATTACTGCAGAACACACCGAAAGCTTAGTTGAGGGTGAGGACTGAGGAAGATTTGAAAATAATGTGAAAAACGTTGGAAAAATGTAAAAATTGTTTTTGTTTTGTTTTTGACAATTGTGAAGATATTACACATGTTCCTATATCCTTTTTTTAAGGGCTTTTCAAAAACGTCGTTTTTGAATTAGATTTAGATTTAAACACACTGGCCTTTTTAAGTGGTCTCTGTACTCTACCCTATGAATTAGAAAATATTTCAAGGTGATAGGATAAAAAATAAGAGTGCATAGAGAAAAAAAAACTTTTCAAGCCATGCAGAGTCTAAAACTAAAGAATATGGGAATTTTAAGTTACAGCTTAAAAGTTCTGAAGAAAAGTGAGTTGCTACTTAAATATTAACCGTTCTAAGTTTAACCCTGAAGGAAAACTTTAATTTACTGGGGAAATTATGAACCAATTAGATTACGAGAATTACGGAGATTACAGATCGACAGAGATTACATCAGCCATGTCGTAATTTCTATTTCTTCACAAAACTGCAGCGCAAAAAGGAACAAATATATTTGGTTTTAGATATTAAATTTAGATATACGATGTATTTGTTTTTCCAGATTTCGAGAAAAGATTTATAAATTAAAATCGTCAGATTAAATCATTTACATGCATTGAAATATTTAGTTTTAGACTCTGTTTTAGGTTAACAAAGATACAGGGTTACCCACACAGGATGAGACTATAAAGACGACCCAAAACTCTAAAAACATGACGATTTAAAGCCTAACTTTTGGCTTCTGCATTAATTGAGTATTTTGATGGTTTACTAAATAATTAAGCACATAACTAATCCAGTTTTGGTCTATAAGGAACTCTAAATGAAAAAAACGGACTAAACAAATTCCGTACAATCCTTCAATCGTAAAATGTAAAGATACAGCACTGTAAATTATGGGTTCTGGTTAAAAATCGGTAAACCTTCAGTAACAGTAAAGATTTTTTTACTTGCTATTATATAATTTTTTGTTGAACTAAATATTATACAAGATAGAAAGATAGAAACATAGAAAGATAGAAAGATAGAAAGATAGAAAGATAGATAGATAGGAAGA